CCAAACTCTAAGAGAAATACAATAGAAAATGAACTCTTGCACTGTCCCCATGAATCTCAATGTCCCTATTGGCAATAATTAATTTCAGGGAAACATTATAGACAAATATTTATCTCAGGTCAGAGACAAAAAGTACCAGAATGAGTTTAGAATGAGAATCACTTGTCCACAGAGTCTTCCATCTCTCAACATGCATTTCCCTGATCTGCTGTTACATCCAAATGAGTTAACCTACAGATAAGTGCCTCACTTTGGACACTCAAACTCCAGTTCTCTCTTGATCTGCAGAACCTCATGGCTCAACAAGCTAAGACCCAGACAGAGTCTTGACTATTCAGCATATATGATATTTTCGATGAAGAATATGGAATGAAATATTCTCTTGAAAAAGCAGGGGAACAGTGATCATAAAATAAATTTTCCAGAGAAAAGAGAAAGAAAGAGAAGCAGAAGGGACTGCTCATAAGTTTGTAAATAATAATATTAATAAAAAAAAATAAACACAGAGAGAAAAAGATAAAGTGTAATAAAGAATGGAAGAGAAAAGGAAATAAAGGAATTAAGAAAATGGCACCATGCATGAAGCAAATCCACCTACGACTTCATGGAAAGCTTCCAAAATCTGCCCAAAGCCTTTCAATGAGAAGTTCTGTCTGAAGAAAGAGCAAAGGATAAACCCATTCTCTTTTTGGACATTGAAAAATGCATTCACTCTTATAGACCTGATTCAGTCCCTTTCTGAAAGCATTTTACTCTCCCTATTGAGGACACAAGCAGCCAAGGGCCTCCTAATTTAAGGCCTCGCTTAAATGCTTAATTGTTCTGTCAGAAGAATAGGGGACATAATATCTTGCTTTTCTGATCTGGGAGCATATGTAGATCCCAGCCCAGAGGAGCATTTTGCTCTTGGCTATTTAATTCATTCAAGTGGAATTAGTGTCCTTCAGTCAGACTTTTATTTGGATGACTATTTTTCTCTGGTAAATTCTAGCAAACAAAAGGTTATATACATTTAAGCACTGTAAACTAGTTTAATCCTAAAAGCACAATGTGCTTTAGGGAAAATGATGAGGATAGAACTACACAAACCACAAAACCTACCACTTGGCAGTAACACACGGTGGTGCCTGGTTTCTGATGACAGTCAGAATGCAAGTCTAATAATACTGCACAGCTGTCACTCTACTGAAACAAATATCTGTCAAGAAAATTAAATCTTAATTTAGTTCTCATTGTGCATAATAAAACTAACAGGATTGTACTAAAACAGTGAAACAGCATCAGTGACTCCTGAAGTGCCTTGGCTCCCCTTCCATATTAACACAGGAGCAGTGGAACTCCACCCTGAGAAACCAACTGCAGCTTCTGCCCTCATAAATTGAAATAATCTCACACCACATTCCTGAATTGACGTGCCTGCACTGCTTAATAGCTCAGGTATGACCCGTATTAGGAGTCTCCCAAATAATGTCCATTGCGCCTCAGAAATTAACTTGTGTCAAGGATTATTCATTCCCATTGGTTTCCATGCAGCTCCATTTGGGAAAAGATTAGGAGAGTTAGTTATATAGATGCAGACTGTTTATATCAGTTCGCACCAATGCCAAAACTGTGCCAAGCATATTTTACCTGGAAAGAGGCAAAGAGACTCTCCTGTTAATGAAAGGTCTTCAAAAATTCCACACACAATTTGTCACTCTGTGAAGAAGTCAGCCCTTACTGAAAAAATAGACTCCTCTCTTTAAACTTTGAGTCTTGCAATTTGTGGAGTTACAACTGATATCTATATTAATACAGGTATTATTTAACAAATAACTCAGTGGACTTTGGACACACACAAAGAACCTCAATACTGTGTGTAAGAATTTGACCAAATTTCAGCCATAAAAAGGTAAAATAAAAGGGGAAATCTTTCCACATATGCAGTTTTCTGCATACGAGGAAGTAAAAAAAAAAAAAGCATATAAATAATAGGTAGGTGTTTGTATGTGTGTGCATGTATACACGTATGTGAGTGTGTGTGTACATACATATATATACATATGTACATATATATATGAACTCAGCTGCCCTGGGGGAAGTAAAAGGAAAATTAGACCATTGGTCTCTCACATGCTGAAGCTTATGGAATGAGATAAAAGAATTCAACATTTTAAAAAGTTTCAGCTTGAGTACAAAAACAGAGTAGACATCCCTAACCATTTAACACACATTAATCAAGCTTCCAATTATTTCTGTGAAATAGTTAAATACAATCAAATCAAAATGACAAAAGGGAATCACAAAAAGGTCAAAAGCTCCTTCTAAAGCCTCATTGCAAACCACTGATAAACACAGGAAAATAACACAGAAAATCAGATTGCTATTTTGCTCTAACTACTAGCTATAATTACATCCACGAATGGGAGAAGACTAAGAAATATTAGATCTTTAGAGGAATATTTAAGGAGCTAATATACTGTAAAATACTAAATGAATGCACCAAGTTGCTTTTGTACTCCCTTGCCTCAAGCAGCTAAGCACAAATAAAATTTTGATGCTAATCAGTCCTAGCAGTTTTCACAGAATCTGGAAACCTATTATTTCCTCTGGCTTCAGCTAAAAAATTTCCCAGCTATTTCATTATTGATACTGGTAAAGTGCTTGTTGACACATCATTTTATTCTTGATGTTGACTTGGCATTTTCCTATCTTGACTATGACACTTTTAACTTGGCATTGAAAGAAAAATCATGACTAAATTAAATGTTTTTTACATAATCCAAGTAGGTGCTTGGATATATGAACAGATATAGATGCAGTTTCTAGCTAATGGAATTGAATTATGAAAGGAGGAGAGGAGAGGAGAGGAGAGGAGAGGAGAGGAGAGGAGAGGAGAGGAGAGGAGAGACAGAAAAAATCAAATGATTATAATGGTATTTTCCAGCCAATAACAAGACAAGATGCTCAAGCACTAAGCAGATTTGTGCTTGCAATATGATCCAAAAAAAAAAAAAAAAGGAGGAAAATTAAATGGGACACATTGGCAATGACTTCCTTTTCTAATTAAAAATGATTCAGAAAGTGAAAATATTATCTAGAAAAAAAGTAAAACAAATCTGTTCATCTTAAGAGCTGATTTCAAAATGTTTCAATCTTCGACTCCGTACTAACAACAAATTTTCTTCACACTTCACACAAGATTTTCCACATGTGTTTTAACCACAGAAAAAATTATTTCAAATTTCAAATGCTATGCTACAGGAGATGCTATTGACAAATGTAGTATGACACTGTGAACAGAAAATTGATATACTTTAGTCATTGCAGCACATTTTGTATTAATGTATGCCAATATGCTAGGTAAAATTCTAGAATCTGTTCTTTATTTCTTTCAAAGTTAAAGGTAAAATTCTCTGTTATGGAAAGGGCCTGCAGTCAGATATGGGAAAGGCTGACTCCAGCAGCACACTGGAGCCTCTCAAGTCTGTAAGGCTCACAAAGTGCAAAAATTTCCATACATATGGATAGGGATCTGTATAGATTTCACGTTGCCACCTGAAAGCGTATATATGTGCTCTCAGAAAGTGAGTAGTAAAATGTATTATTCAGGAAGTATAACCTTCAATCATAAGAAAAAAACAGTAATGACACAACTGAGTAGAAAGCCCTGCATTTATGAGGCTAAGTCGGGATAGGCTCAGTACAACCGTAATCCCTGTGCTTCCCTCTTTTGTTTCCAGGAGCCTCTCTGATGTCCTTTGAAGATCTGGAACACATCCCAGTAACAGAGCCCTGTGCCAGCTAAAGGTGACAAGATCTGCCACTGAACCTAAAAAAAAGCATCATCTAACTACTGCCCTGCGAGCAGCTCAAGGCTGCAAACTGAAGGTATCCGTTAAAAAATAAGGCAAGGCAAACGAAGAATCAAAGCAAATAGACAAAATGCTGGGGGAAACAATATATTCACTTCTACATTGGCTTAAAGAAAGTATTCTTTGCATTTGAGATGGTTGCACACAGAGTCAAAAAAAAAACAAACTTCAGAATATCAATCATACTATGTGCTTCTGAAAAGGTAAATGCATATGAAATGCATAAAGCAAACATGCACAAAGTACATATTAGTATAGGGAAGGGAAAGGAAAGGAAGGAAGGACAAAATTGTGATGGAATTTTTTGACTTTATAGGCACATATATTTGTATATTTATTTATTGAACACATAATCTGATGTATATATTTTATATATATCACGTGTGTGTGTGTGTATATATATATGTATATAAGCTTAACATCACAGTTCACTGAGCATATGGTCCACTCGCCTTGATTCTCATGCAAGCCATTGTCCCTAGGCTGCCCGGTGTGACACTGGCTAGAAGATGTGTGAAGGTGACAGATGGAGTGTACCAAGGAGTTCAGGAATAGCGTGAGGTTTTAGATGGAAGGAAACAAGCATAAACAAATGTCTCTCTCTATTCCAGCAGACTTTAACCATTAAATAGGGTTAGTCAGACATTTTAATAAGTTCCTTCCTTGAATAGAAAGAATGCAATATATCAAGAGTTACAGAGTCACTTGTTTCTCCTAAGCTGAGTTTGGAGGGACTGAGAACAGCTCAAGCATTAACAAGTTTCACACAAAGGTCTTCACTGACCTCTACCTTTATGCCATATCAGGAGTAGAAATTTTAGAAAGATAAAGCCAGAGAAAGGGGTGAATGCAAGAAATTTCTCCTGAATAATTCAGTCAAAAGAGGCATTCCTTCTTGACTACTGACTGTTGGCCAACAGGGGCAGCTGGACTCTGACTCAATCCACCAGGCAAACAAGAGCCAGCTTGGCAGCCAACTTTCCAGACTGGAAAAAGCAGTGACATAACCCTCCATTAAACCTGAGGAAAGAGTAATTCCTCATTCACCATAAGAACCAAAATAAGTGGGTCCAAACTTGTCTACTCTATTTCTACAATAACTTTTTATGGGAAATACTAAAAGAATATCAGACTGCCCTTTCACCTTCACTCAGAGAACTGCATGTTAGCTCTGGCCCTGCCCACGCCATGTTGCTGATCTTGTACTTCACCACGTCTGACCTTGCCTTGCTGACTTGGCTTTCTAGCTGGTCTCGGTGCATCACTGGAAATCTGAAAATAGGGTCTTGACTGGAAATCACTGTCCTGCTGGCTGAGCCTGGCTGTTATGCCCAAACTTCTTTGTTCTTGTTCTTCTTCTTTGTCACCCTCTGCTACTCGCTCAGTTTTCTCTGTGGAGCTCTAGTAAAAACAACTTCATAAAATGATACGCCAGCAACTTCAGCTGGGGACAATCTGTCCTGAGATCCAAACAGAAATGCTTAAGCAGGTATTTACTGTACTTATATCTTGCACCGTACTTTTTTTTTTTTTCTTTTTTTTGCCTCTGAAGGTCCTTTCCTTATTCCACTATATTTGCAGCAAGATTGCCCCCAAGTTCTGAAAGCTTAATAAACACGTCACACAATATTCTTTTAATCAAATACCAGAGTAATATAAGCAACCTCTTTATTATTGTATGTCAAAGAATAACCAATCCACAAGCTAATTCCTTGAAGAATTCATTCCTGTTTGCAAACTGCCTCTGAAGCGTCCAAAACCATCAACACACGAAATTTAGCCTATCCAAATTTGCCCCTTAATGTCTGGCAGCTATTAAAGGCACAAAGTCACCTGTTAAGCGGTGGTACTATTAGAGATGCACAAAAAAAAAAGGTCAGAAAAGAATTCAAGGTTTAGCTAGGTTTAGCTAGGAGAAAGGGTATAGATCAAGAGCATTTTCTGTGGTACTCTCTCTTCTCCCCTTCTCATGAAAACAGACTTAGATATAAGGATAACAAGAATATCAATCACTTTATGCTATCCAGCAGATCATCAGATAGGGCTATTGACCTGTGTGTTTTACATTGTAGAATCAATAAGAGAAAGAAAAAAAAAAAGGAAAAGAAAAATAGCAGCATAAAGATACCAACTGCTGAACATAATATTTCTCTGGCTGTTTTTTTTATATGTAATCAAATTGAGTGACATAATATATTTCTCACAATTTCATCACAGATTAAAATTTCACTAGATAACAATATTGTCAAGAAATATACAGTCCTGACATTTAGGAACTTCAGAGCAGATATTAAAGTAATACTGAATTTCAAATTACAGGGTCAACTTGATGAATAGAATCATTAGCCATGTGAATGAATTGCATTCATCTGATAATAATGGGAATAGATGTTTTCAAGCTAGTCATCATCAACACTAATTAAATTACAGGTGTTTATATCATCTGAGTGCCCAGCCTGGACATATACTCAGGCTCAGTAAACACTGATTCCATCCTAGGAAATTCTGTGAGCATGTATCATGGTCCTGGTCCTCAGCCACACAGCCGTGTGGGGCTCTCAGTTGAGAACCTCAGCCCGTTTCTTCTTTGGTGAGCCCCAACCAGATTACACTTCTATATTTCTGACAGAAGATCCTTAATTTCCTGCTGTTCTTGCTTATAGCCACTGTGCATGGTTTCTAGAGTGCTGCTGAAATGCGGCTATCCAAAAGCCTTCACACATGCACATGCAAAGAATCCCCCCGGGGGAACAAAGCTACTCCTGAGAGAAGGTGTAAAAACAGACTTCAGATGCTGGTCCAATATGAGACGTTAAAGAGAATCATTTGTCATTTTTTTACATTATTAGGAATATTTGTGCAGGATCTATAATTAAAACTAAAAGAGATGTCTCCTCATTTTGCCAGCAGCTGTGTTGCATCAATTAAATGGGTAAATAAGATCTTTCCCCAGAGGGGATATCACGTGGTCCTCTATTGATTAAGACTGCAGTAGAATGTTATTTGCAATCTTATTGCATAATGGAAATCAGGAGGTAGCTGTCATGGTTTCAGAAGACAAATTGCTGGTATCTTAGACAATTCATAGGCCTCTTTCCTTCTTGCTGCTCTTAATTCACAGTTAATACATGCCTTATGGGGCTTAGTTTCTTAAACCAGTCTACTACACTGTATTCAACTCAAAGCTGGAAGTGGTATTCTATGTGCTTCTGCACTATGATGGGCATTAAAGTGACCATTCCATCTATCTCTACTTAGAGCTATGCATTATTTAATAGAGTAACACAGCTTTGAAAAAGGATGTTAAATTAAAAATAGATATGTCCTGCAGCATGCATGGTTACTCCAGCCCTCCCCTTTTCCCCAAGACATGGCTCCAACTGTGCTCTCCATGTTCAACTTTTCTAAATCTCAGCTTAGTTCTGCATTCTTGACTTTCACACGCAAAGCACATGGCTGGTCCACGTCCACCACTCTCCAATGTGTGCAGCAAATGTGCGCAGTAAATGCACCCAAGGGTCAGTTATGTGGCTGTAGCAAACATCTGACCACAACCCAGGAGACACATCATTCCTCCACTGAAGCCATGATTATGTCCTTCACGACAGGGCCAGAAGGAAGGACAGACAGTATGAATGACAAACATATTCTTTTCCAGAGTGAGAAATCTTCCAAAAGGACAATCTTTTCTTGTTTCTTTGCAATCTTTCAGGCACAACAGTTTGGTAAGTGCAACCGTTTTCAAAATACGTAACAACAATATTTACAAGTATCAGAATCCTCTTTACCAAAGACAAGGAAATGGCCTTTTACATGGCTTTCAGTGATTATGAAGTTACAAGGACATGAGGAAAGATTTTTGAGTGGAAGGGGCCATTCGATAACAGTAGGCAGTAGGACAGTAATAAATTCAAATGAAACGTTATCCCCATTCTGTGCATTGAAAAAGTGTGCTCAGTTTACCATAATCTATTTACCATTGTACAGGATTGAAAATTAAATGTTAGCTGCCTGATCTGTGCCAGGTAAGTTGATTGATTAGTATGTGTTCATCTTTCTGTCTAGTCTGGTGAGTTTAAAAGTGGCAGGCTTATTTTCCAACATTTATAGGAGCAGAACTTAATAAAGTACAAAGAAGGAAATGAGCAATATGCCAGTAGAACTACTGTCCAAAAGTAATCTCTCAAAAAGTAATAACAAAGTCTGGAAAAAAAATACCTTGTGAAAGTGATGGAGGAGGTTAAGATTTCAAGGAAATCAAAGACATTTCAGTACACTTCATTTGGCCAGACATGCACATCAATAACACTAGATTTTTGCCGGTTTATCTTCCTGCTTAGGGAAATTATCTGGTCCTCCTACAAATGGATTTGTATTTAAACCTTCTATTGCATTCTCCTGGAAATTTATGAAATAAATTTCAACCTCGTCTTGATGAGCATAAACATTTAATATGGAGCAAATATGAGTAATAAAAAAAAACAGAATAAAGCACCCTACAGAATTAAAATGTGTGCACATTTTACTCTGGTTTCTTAGAATTTCAAAAGAGGCATTTGGCAATTTAAACTAGTATATGCAGTCATTGGGTTTTTTTTTTTCTCCCTTCAAAAGGGCAAATCAGTCATTTCAAATTTGTCTTTCCTTCCTTGAAAGCATTAATACACAATCATCTCATTTTATTCTCCTTAAAATTTAAATGAAGATTTAAAAATTTTCCTTACCTTAAAAAGTCTTAAAATATTAGCCACCATAATGGACACAGAACTTGCTGCAGCACCTATCACACCTGATATCTTGTCTGGCTTAGTGAAAATAGGTGGATCACCATTAGCACACTTCACATCTGAACCATCTTTTTCTATCAATGCTTGCACAAATGTTAAAGATTGCTCCAAAGCATAAGTGTCCCTGGAACACGTATCGAGGATCCGGACACCTAAAGTGATGTTGGTTAGAAGATCAGGGTCTTTATTAATCTGATCGATTGCATACAGCATTGCCTCTAGCCTGTGGATCCCTTTCTCCTTCTTGAGCTCCCCACAAGGCACCCCTCTATCCCCTTTTGCATGGACAGGAAACAGTCCTCCCAAAATGATGTCCCCATCCAGTCGGATGGAGTGGGCATATTCTTGGCCATGAGTTCTTTGCATCATGGTGAGTATCCAGTAGAACTTGGCTGTTAACAGGAAGAAACAATGACAGGAAACTAATCGCTTTCTGTCGTATACCATTTTCTCTGAAGGCGTTGTTGTTATCCAGTATCCAGGTTTTCTTGCTAAAGGGTGAAGTTGACCATTTGAAGCTGCACTTGCTGGAGGCTACCATCAGTGCTCAGTGAGTAGTATAGAACCATGCGGCAGGTAGAAAAATTATCTCAGTGGAAGTACATAAAACTTGGTTTTAAAAAAGATGTGTGCTGATGTGAATTGATCGGCTTTGTGGAGAGGTGGTTTTCAACTGCACTTAGTTGATGGTAAAGTGTAAGGTGGTTTCTCTGGTCCTGAAGCTAGGAGGAGGTCAGTAGCTCATGTCCTTGTATTTTACCCTGCAGCAGAGGCTCTTCTGAAAGAAAGTGAGAAATACTGTTTAGTTCTGCAGTTTTTTATCTGTCACACAATGTATTTACTTTTGAATATGAATTACATTGCCTAGGTTTTACTTTCCACACTCTGTAAGGGAGTAATTCTTGGCCTTCCATGAATTTGAACACCTGGCTGCACTGTACTATAAGCTGAGAATTGATGATGCCAGCAGAGGAAAAGCAAAATCGAGGCAAGTAAACCTAACTCAGTGTTCAGAGTCAGAACAGTAACTTGTGTTTATTTTTATGGCATCCAGCATGACATCTACTAAGAGCTTTGATCCAAAACATGTTTTATACATACATATATATGTATACAGCTATATATATACGATACAGCTATAAGTGTGTGTGTGTATATATATATATATACTATTCCAACTCACAGAATTGCAATTACACTTTCACTGGCAAGTTCCATTCATGACAATGGAATAAACAGTATTCCTAAACCTTAATATGTTCTTCAGCTTTTGCATGGCAAGAGCATTCAATTCATTAGAATATTAAGCCAAAATATATCCTAGATAATTTCAAAAACTTAATTATTTTAAAAATAACTGCTTTCTTAAGCAAAGAGAGCACCATGTGGTCTGTCAAAAAAACACTATATATACAGCATTCCTTTTCTGACGTTTTACTTATTCTGAGATCCAACATTAACAATGTCTCTGTTATGTGCTTGCATTTGGACCACATAAAATAAGAATAATGCTTTGACATCTGGAAAATCCCAAGAATTTTAATAAGGCCAGGACTTCTTCATAGATATCCAAATACCTGACTGACTCTGAAATATTTCCATATTACTCCATTGCTCTGGTAGAACATTTTTTGTTTCTAAAGTGAGAGGGCTTTATTTAATTCAATTTTTAACAAAATTACATATCAAATCAAATTTTTAGATCTCAGAGGAGGAGAGAGAGGGAGAGATTTATTTTCTTATAATATTAAATATATACACAGTAAAAAACTGCACCTCAGTCAGTCTCTCAAGGTATCTGTAGTAGGCTGTGGAGAAAGAGCATCTTTTTAGAGCCAATTCATCTGACCTTTTTGTTAAAGAAAAGCCTAGTTCATGTTGAAAGTAATCATATTAAACAACTGTTAACTTCTCATGTTTGCCTATTTAGAAAATCTGGACAGCAGTATCATCTGCAGATAAAATACTTTGTCCCAAAGGATCTGACTGATTTCTAGCATACAAATAATCAAATGAAGAAAAAAATACATTTAAACTTTATTTCAAAGACATTTAAAATTGTTTTTCACAAGATTTTCATATGTTCTGTGGTAACAAATCTCAAAATATGATTTGATAATGCTTTAAACCAATCATCTTGTTCTTAAAGTTATTTCATTATATCAATTTCCCAAAATGTTAATACTAAGTTCACAAAACCTCAGAAGAATTCTTAAATAATGGGTATTTGAAGGCCCAAGAAAAATATTCAGATCAGAGAGTCTTCTCTCTGGGTATTTGAAGGCCCAAGAAAAATATTCAGAACAGAGTCTTCTACTTATGAAACAGTATCTCACTGTGATCTAGTAACAAAGCAAGGAGTTGAAAATGAAACATGTTTAGTTGGTGTGAAGAAAAGCCTTGCAATTGGGAATAGCAGAGCACAAGACTTTTGGTGTCTCTTAATATTTTTTTTGCTGGAATTTCACTTAGGGACGAATCTAAATGAAACAAACTCTGTGCTGCCTTAGGTCGCATTCCTGACATTCTCCGTCAGCTCCTTATGAGCATATGGGGAGCATGAACTTCAGCTCTGAGAGCTTATAGTGGCTTTTAAGACACCAATTCAGACCTTATCATCAGTTAAAAATGCAGGAACCTGACTATCATCACTGGCTTCCAGTGAGTTGATCTGATTCCCTAAGATGGTTCTTATGGATAGACGGTGGACCACACAATAGAGAAAAGACTTAGTTACCCGCCAGGCACAACTGGCATTTATCTTAATTGCCATAGTAGAGAAACATAGATAAGATTTGAAAACAGCAAAGACTAAATGTTATATCTACATCTAAAATATATATAGATGGGATTTCCTTTTTGGTTCCATAATAAACTACCAACGCATTAATCTATGCACTACTGTACTCTACTACAACCCATACAGGAACCATCTCTTTGAGGCAATAAAAGATAAGACTGCTCTTATTCAACACTCTACAGAGACTTAGGGAACAAGATTGCCCCACTGAAAATGTGAAAATATTCATGAAGAGAAAAATGCTGCTTTTTCCCTTGCTCAGTCTTGGTCCAATTTCTTACAGCCAATGAATACTCAGAAATTAAAGCAACTATTGCTCTGTGTGTAAGCAAACAGTGATGCTGTTTCAGACCTCAATTCCAAAGGTTAAAAAGTTAAAGAAAGCTCAAAAGCTGGAGTCCAACACCTTATCTGAAACAAGTTAAAAGCTAAATGAATTCAGATTTTTTTTTTCATTATTTGAATCTACAAAAGCATTAATTGTTCTGCCTCAGCTTGTATAATTTCCCAAAATAAGTACATGCTTCCTTGCTCCCAGTGGCCACCACTTGTCTATAAAATGGAAGGAAAATTGTAAAATGCCCTTTTAAAAAATTTAAGATCTTTTAGTCTTTTTTTATGTTACCTAAGAAATAAAAGCTTTTATTATGCCATTTAATTTATTCATGCCACACTTTTTATATATTAATATTAACTGTTACAGAATGTTATAAGGCTCTGTAGCTAACTATAAAGCATCTGATCTAGATTAATTCCATTTTTTTATCAATGAATTTTAGTGCTGAAAGAAGCATGGCTCTCAGGCTATAAACTCAGAATGATCTTTCCTCATGTTCAGAGATTTCTTTCAAACAAAAACGCTGTCCTTTCCAAATTGATCATAAAAGTCTGAATTAATGTAAATGCATTCTCAAACCACAGCTTTCCCACTGTAGCAGCTAGTGCTCACTAGACATATAACTTCAGAGAAGAAATTCACACATTTCCCTGGCACAGGGGCTTACGAGTTCAAGTGCAGTACCAATACTCTCTTCTAGTCACCTTGAAATATGTGTCTTTCTTGGTTTAAATTCACTAAAAATACCTTGTACTATCAGAGCATACTACTATTTTTAAAATAAGGATTTCAGTACATTCTTCCGCTTGTTCTGCTGTAAAATAGTTTTAATTTTAAACCTCAGGAGCTGCTGTGTTGCAATACAGAAGCCATGGAAAGTTCTCTCTGGACAAATCATTTGCTTCTGAAATTGCGCCCTTCAACAAGCACTGAGCCCTAGAAGTCAGCTGATACTCAGGGTTCGGTACCTGAGCACAGCATTGGGGGACTGGACATTTCAGCACACACCAAATTCGGTCATGATTCCAGCCACAGACTTACTCCTCTGCAAGATGGTGTCATTATGAGAGTTCTTCATGTTAATGAACTCCAAATAATGGGCTGAAAGTGATATATAAATATTGGTATCAAAACTCATGAAGGAGCAATCTTCAGTTAACAGTAAACTCGTAGCTGAAATCATAGCAAAATTCAGTACATTCACCTGGAAATATTGTTAAAAAGAATATTATGATTTGCAGACAAAAGAATATTATGATTGCAGATAGCATTTTCTACACTGCAAACAGGAAAATCTGTTCACTGAACTCTGTAGAACATTTTTAACTGAAGTTGCTAGCCAGACACTTTTTTTTTTTCAAACATCAGCTAGATTGTGCACATATTGCAAAACTGGTTTGGTTTCATTGAATGAGGACAAAATAATAGCAACTTCCATTCTGAACTTCTGGAGAGAAAAAAAAGAAATGCAAAAAAGAAAAATGTCTATCTTCTGAATTCTTACTGTTAATATCGTATTTCAAGACAATCATATATAGACTGCATCTTGCTAATATTCATTTTAACATTCTTAAAAGCTGCTTCTTTTTCCTGCACATGATGATGTGACAGTGATGAATAAATAGCTGAGTTGGAAGATGAACAGGAAAATAGTTGCCACTTGGACACAATAACTTAATACATACAGAAGACTAATGGGTTTTGCTGACAACAGAAGGGAATCTAGAAAATCATAGGCCTTCTACGACATCACACTTTCTAACTTGGAGTGGGATTCTTCTCTCTCGAGTCACCCTATCTACTTCAGTTCCTCTAAAATGAACTTCCATTCTCCTACAACTGGGCAGCCACCTCTACAGAAAAATCAGGACTTCAAGGCATGTCACCCTCAGCATCTTGTTTACAGGAACTATTTTGTCCTACTGTGAAACGTTTCCATTCAGATTCATCAGCCTCTTATCAATCATAGTAGAGCTCCTACCTTCGCTTTCTACCATCTCCCAAAACTATCCGTCTGCCAGACGAACTACCCCAATAAAACAGTTCAGATCCTTCAGCAAGGGTTAGGCTAATAGAAGCTTACAATTTTTCAGTGGGAAGCGGCATCAATCCTGCCCTTGCCTGGTCTCACAGCTGAATAAGCTCCATCAATGTAACACCCTGGGAGCTGGTATCGCCTCTCATCCAGCAAGCGAACATGAAGCGGCTTTTCCCGGGCAGCCCGGCACCGCCTTTTCGCTCTTGTTCTGGGCTTTCACTCTCCCCTCCTCCCGCCCGGCCGACACGGGCGGCCCCAGAGCCGCGGCCGGTGCGCGGAGCGCGGCTGCTGCCCGCGGGGGAGCCCCGCGCCGCGCCCGCGCAGGGGCGGCCGGCGCGCCGCCTTCCCCGCCACCGTCGCCCATCACCGCGGCGTTCCTCCCTCTTAGGGAGCCCCCTATTGTTCTGCGCTGCGCCGAGCGCCTCATTGCTGCGCCCTCCCAGGCTCATCCCTACCCGGGCTCATCCCTACCCTGGCTGTCGCCTGCCGCTGAGGGATCCCGCAGGAGCAGCCCCAGTCCGCCTGGCCCCGAGGCCGCGCTCCTTGCGCTGAGGAGCCCGAGGGGGTTCGGAGGTGTTGGGCTGCCCGCTCCGCGCCCCACGCAAGCCGGGATCGCCTTTTATTTAGGGCCGCCCGTGATTCCTCCTCTCCGTCAGCCTATCGGTCAGCTTTAACGCGCTTGGGTTCCCCTCAATGAAAACCTAAGACTCTTTTAATGAATCCCCGGTCCCAGAGGTCAGAAGCTTGCAAACTCCAAAATGCCAATGCCGGATTTGCATGCACTTTGGGTCAGCGGTCGATTTTTATTACTTGGTTTTTTTTTTTTTTTTTTTTTTTTTTTTTCCCCGCTGTGATGTGCATTCCCTTGCCGACAGTCAGGATCCCCGCAAGAAAACACGCCCCGCACTGGGGGAGCGCTGCTCCTCGCCGGCGGTCGCGAACACCTCCCCTCGGGCCCTCGCCCTCCTACCCGGGCTAGGAAAACCCCGGGCGCCGCCGAGGTTTCCCCTTCCTTGCGCACCCGCCGGGATCCGCGGAGCTGCCCAAGCGGAGCCTGCGGCGGCCCCGGTACCGGCCCCGGCGGCGGCTGCATCGCTCCCGGCCCCGGAGCCCAGCGCGAAGTTGCTGCTGGAGAACAGGGCTCGCCCTGTCCCCGCTAAATCCCTAGGCGCGAAGGGAGCCCCATCTTGCCCCTGGCTAAAGAAACGTGAGCAGGACGGCAGGGAGCTCAGGTCAACCCTCTGCCCCCTCCCTCCTCCCCGGTGGGGGGCGGGGGTCGATAGGGGGTATCACCCACTTAAGGAGGCAAGGGGCAGATCGGGAGCACCGACATCCTCCCCTTCTTGTTGCTGCTGTGACGGCACCGTGCCCAGGATCTCTTTCGTTGGAGCTGATTGGGGGAGGATATCGACAATAAAAATGATAATTAAAGCAATGAGCAAAAGCCCCCAGCGCCGCAAAGCAGGCAGAGAGACTGCCCAGCCCCAAGACGGTAACTGAGGCAAAACTTGCATTATTTATTGCGCTCATCTCCCCTTAAAATAAGGACTGGAGGAAACACACAAACACACACGCAGACACGCACACACACACACACACACACAAATACCTTGATCGGAAATAGTTGCATATCCATATTACTGTAGAGGTCACTGGAATTAATACCGGGCGCCGGTCGGGAATAGCATGAGGTAATTTCTGTACAACCCTCGTCTCAAATAGCTTCCCCCAGGAGCGTCAGCTCGATAGGCAGGAGCTCAGCCTGGGACAGGTACCTAGGAGCGCGATTTCAATAGTGCTGCATAACACTCGCAGTCTAGCCAAGCCAAACCTTCCCCACCGTCTCCTTCCTTCTTCCTCCTCCCCCTCTTCAAAAAAAAAAAAAAAAAAAAAAAAAAACCAAAAAAAAAAAACTTTTTTGGGACTCGTGGCTCAGCCCCTGTGACGATACTCACCCGCCTCGCCGCTCAATCGCAAGGGCGGACACACGGCCGGGCCCCCGCCCCGCGCCCGAGCCCGCCCCCGCGGAGCGGCCCCGCCGCCCGCCCGCCCTTTACCGCGACCCGACCCCGGCTGCGCGGGGCGGCGCGGAACCTCGCGGAGCAACGCGGGGCGGCGCGGGCAGCGCGGAGCGGAGTGGCGCGGAGCAGCCCGGGGTGGCGCGGGGCAGCGCGGAGCGGAGCGGGGCCCCGCATCCGCGCATCGCGGCCCCACTTGTAGCTGTTCGCGGTGCTGAAGACGGAGGCGCGGAGCCTGCTCCGCGCGGTGCCCGCGGGCCCGCTGCGTCCGCAGCCCCGGCACCTCCTGCGGCCGCTCCGCCGGGCGCGCGGCTGCACCCGGAGCTACGAAAAAGCCAATTAAACCACGGGGCTGGCGGGGCCCCGGGCGCTCAGCACGGACGGCCTCCCGGTGGAGGGCAGGGCCGGGGGTGCCGAGCGCCGCACCGGATCCGTCTACCGGGGAGCTTTCCTGACACGTTTATTCTCGTGCCCTATTTCGGCTCCTAGCTTTGATGGAGGATGAAGGGCTTCCCTGCTGCTTTTCGTCTTTTTTTTTTTTTTTTCCCGGACACGGAGACAAGTCTCCCGGACCCAGGGCCACCCAGGGGGACCCATCCGGGAATCGCTTGCTGGAACAGTCTGGAAGAGTTTCTTCCGAAAGCAGCTCCCCGCCGCGGCGGTGCCGCGGCTCCGTTTGCAGCGGGAGGCACCGGGGCCCTTGCTCTGCGCCCCGCCGGGCCGCCCCGGCTCCCTCGCGCCCGGAAGGCAGCGGGGGCAGCGCGGGCGCGGCGGCTCCGCGGCCCGGCCGCGTCCCGGCTCTGCCTCGGTGCGAAGGTTCCACCTCGAGGGCGCTGCCCGCAACTGCATCGCCCCGATCCGCTCCGTTCGGTTCGGCCCCAGGGCCCGAGCAGTGCGAGAGGCAGCCCGTGGCTAGGCTCATTAGGCTCATTTATTTTATTTTATTTTATTTTATTTTATTTTATTTTATTTTATTTTATTTTATTTTATTTTATTTTATTTTATTTTATTTTATTTTATTTTATNATTTTATTTTATTTTATTTTATTTTATTTTATTTTATTTTATTTTATTTTATTTTATTTTATTTTATTTTATTTTATTTTATTTTATTTTATTTTTTATTTCATTTCATTTTATATTTTTATTTTTTAATTTATTTTTTTTTTCCATTTCAGGCTGCTCTGAACTGCTCGCTATAGTAACCAGGAAAGGTTATTGCTTTGACCAGAGCTTTATTGTTTTTTTTATAGCAGTACTGGAAGGAGGAAAACTCCTTTACAATTTAACATATGAAATCAGTGCTGACATGGTCACTTTGGTTACATGGTGCTGTTTGGATTTATATGTTAAAGGTCTGTCCCAGGCAAGCCAGAGGACTCTGACAAAATCTGAGGAGCCTTTTGTTCCTCTACTGTTTCTTCTTTTACTATTGGAAAATGGCACAGGGAAGAGAGCCAGGGCTTGGGCCAAATTTATTAACTTATTTTTGCATTTACTTTTTCCAAAATCCTTCCCTGTTGGGAGAAGACAAAGGAGCTGTGGTTTCAAGGGCTCTGTTCTAGAAATCTGGAATAACCCTGATGTTAAAGCATGAGCAGTGCTCCATCTTAAAGAAAGGCCTTTCTCTAGCTTGTATCAGGAAAATAAGCAATGCATTATCTGTAGTTTAATATGGACCAATTTACAACTTATTTTAGACTCTGAAATTAGAGCAGCTTCAAATAAAGTGCAACAAAAACAAGCACAGTTCTGTAGGCACAGCTGATGCTTCTCCCACTGTGTGTGTCCTGCAGGTGGATAGGGAAAGGAAACCTCTCATGTGTTTCTAGCTTGGCAGTGTTGCCCTCTCTCTCTCTCAGCCCCATCTTTTCTAGGGCACAAATTGGGGAATATAGTCACTATATCTTATTATTTGTGTTTACAGTGAGGCGAGCAAAGACTTTTAGGCTGGGGTATGGTAAATATGCATAATTAATCAATGTGTGCTATGTTTTGAGTAAATATAAGCACAGAAGATAAATATTCTTGGGGAAAAAAAAAGGAGAAGGAAAAAAGGAAAAAGGGATAAGAGAAAAAAAAGGAGAAGGAAATGGGAAGGGGAAGGGGAAAGGAAAAAGGAAGAGGAAAGGGAAAGGGAAGTGGAAGGGGAAAGGAAGGAGAGGGGAGAAGAGGGAAGGGAATGGAGAAAGATTTACATGAAAATTGTCTTTTTTCATAAAGATATATGGCACAAAAGAGAGGCAAAATACATCCATCATTCTTCAAAAGACTTTCTTCTGATTCAATGCCAGCAGCAGCTAATGTCAGTTTCTACAGAAGACTAATGTCAGAACTGGTGACATTGACTACCTGCACAACTAACTCAGGGTAGAAGAAATCCATTTCTGCAAAGCAAGCTGTCTTAAAGGAGGTCTTAAATTCTCTTAACAGCCTTATTTAAGTGAGAAGTCCTAACACTCAGAGGAAGCATCTGACAGGATGGATGCTGGCATGGTCTCAGGACCACACTCAAATGTCAAGACCCCAGAGACAGAGCCTGAGAGATTTCAGTTCTAGCTACTCGCCAGAATAAATCCCTGCTCTCTAATGCCAAGCAAAACCAAATACATCCTTCTCTCAGCTACTCTATGCCTCTGCGTCTGCTTCTATAGAGGAGACATTCTCCAAGTATCCAAGGAAGTGACTTTTGCTGATCAGTTCATGCCAAAGGCACTATTCCATAAACACATTCACTTGGATGGATGTCAGTGAAATTGGAAAGGGGGCTGATTTTTGTAACTTTGAGACAGTGCCAAGTGAAACACATTGTGAGTTTCTCCCGTGAGGACTTTTTTTTTTAATATTGTCATACAAGTGATGAAATACAACTTCTGGGGTTAGTCAAACACAGAGATTAAAACTACTGAGGAAATAAAAACACTTGAATAATCACTTTCAGGCAAAGGTTCTCTAATTAATAGTCGCTAAAGAATACAGAGGCATGAAGTCAATGATTTCCATAAAAGCGATAGGGAATGTTGGGTCCTGAATTACATTTTAGAATACATGTGAGTTTGAATTTTTCAAGGAACATAATTACTAAATGAGAACTCCACTTGAAATTCTAAGGCTAATTCTTCTTTACAAAACGTATGACATGCAGAAAAAATAAAAGAGGGAGAAATGGTATTTCATAGCAGTGACTATGACAAACAAGTGTTATCTGGAAGCCAAAGAAAGTATGCACTCATCTGTAAAACAGAACATATCTTGGGAAAGCCCAGTTGTGACTTATTTCAAGCAAACTTTCCAGCAGTGAACAAGAGGTGTCAATGCTTAGAATATAAAAATGAAAGGTAGCTATCATATAGGAAAGGTAGCATTATGTTTCCAGGGAAGATATTTTCAGAAACAGGGTATTTTTAGTAGCTAATTTACAAATATTAACTCCAGTATTTTAGAAGATTTTAACAGCTGCAGACTGTCTCTCAACTGGAAAGAGCAACAATGCACAATTTACCATTCTATAAACATATTTTTAATCTCTAAATACTATTCAGGAGCAGCAACAGTGAGCTGCTCTGCCAGGGAGGGTGAGCTGGGAGCCAAGTGTGAGGGCAAAGCAGGTAGGACCATGTCCTCACCGAGTCCCACAGTGGACAGAGGACAAGAGGTGACCAGGCCTAAAACAGCCCAAAGATGCCAGACAAGTGTGTAGCAATGGAGTTCATCCAAGATCGAGCAGAATATCCAGTGGAAGCATCAGGATCTGAATTAGAGTTGCACAGCATGGCTGCCATAGCTCAGGAAAGGACAAAGAGCGAGTCTGGAGCTTAGAAAAGCTCCCTAGTGTAGCTGGGGAGCATATGAGGAAGTTTCTTGGAGCTTTCTTGCAAGGCTCTTTCCTTGGCAATCTGGTCCAAAGTCACACAGTTGCACCATGGCAGCACGCAGCTAAGCCCTAGGAGCCCTAGGAGCCTATGGCTCCGGCACAGATCAGGTCTATGTCCATGAATGCCATAATCTCATATCCTGATGATGACAGTGAAACATTATATCTTAAATACTGCCATAAAAGATTATACATTTTCTTAGAATACACTGTTTGGGAATATGCTTCTCAGCATGACTGAAGTCTTGAGGAGACTGATCCAGAAGATAGATGAGAAGGAGGTTCATACTAAATATACATGAAGAAATAGGGTATTTATAAATAAAGTGTTTCCAAAATACAAGTGGGCGATGAACTGATAAAATTCCCTCACAAGTCAGAACACTGAAATCAATAGAGACAGTTGTAAAGCAAAATGACATTTGCTAAAGAGAAGAGAGACTCAATCCTAATTAACTCAAAATTACAGTGTCCACAGAGGGAATTATGCAATGTTATACCTTTATAATGGGGACACTCCACTAGTATGTCCTTTAGGATAATGGCTATGTAATTTTATACATATAATTGATTTAGTATCTATCTACCTTGGTGGCAAGTTCTGCAGCTTCTGAAAACTTCATCTCTCACATTGTCCTTCACTGATGAAGCCATGTTTAAGAGTGTGTTTCATTCTAAACCACTTATTGGAAATGATTAAAAACTATGTACAGTTATTACTTTTCAAGCCTTGGAAATGCATATATCTTTGAGGTGAGGTACAACAAAGGTTTTTAAATACAGAAATAAAGCCTGTACTTTTTCAGTA